TATCCCCGTCAGCTCCCTTCGTGTTCCACCCGGTAAGCCACCAGATCGGCAATGCTGGTCAGGACCAGATTGTGTCGGGCGCAGAACTCCCTCAGCTCGGGAAGCCGGGCCATGCTCCCATCCTCGCTGCAAATCTCGCAGAGGACCCCCACAGGGCGCCTCCCCGCCAGCTTGGAGAGGTCCAAGGCCGCCTCGGTGTGTCCGCGGCGGTTCCTGACCCCCCCCGGGGAGTAGCGCAAGGGGAAAATGTGCCCTGGCCGGGTGAAATCAGAGGCGCGCGAGGCTGGGTCCGCCAAGGCGCGCAGGGTGGCAGCCCGGTCGTGTGCGGAGATGCCTGTGGTCGTGTTGTGCTTGTAGTCGACCGAGACGGTGAAGGCGGTGTGCTTGGGGTCCTCGTTTTCCGCGATCATGGGGGGCAAGGCCAGCCGGTCCAAGTCCTCCCCTTCCAAGGAGACACAGACCACGCCCGAGCAATGCCGGACAATGAATGCCATCGCCTCCGTGGTCACCTTGTCGGCCGCTATAATGATATCCCCCTCGTTCTCCCGGTCCTCGTCGTCCACCACCACTACCATCTTCCCCGCCGCCACCGCATTGATGGCCGCCTCCACCGTGGCTTTCCCAAAACAATATCCCGGCGCTTGAAGCTTCTTTTCCGCCTCCGCTGCTGCTGCCGCGGCTGCCGCGGCAGCTTTCGCTGCCTTCTCTCCTGCTTCGCCGGTCTGTGGGCCCTCCGACCTCGCCAGGGTCCCCGCCGACACCCCCGCGCCAACCTTGTCCTCCACCGATCCCTCCCCATTCCCTCTCCGTCCTCCTTCCTCCCTCTCCTCCTCCAGCTCCTCCTCCAATCCCTCCTGGTCCAAAATCCTCTCCTTCTCGGAACTCAAGGAATTCCGATCCGATTCGGTCAATACCTCCGGCGTCGTGGCCGCCTCGGTACCATCCAGGCTACCACCTTCCTCCCTCTCGCCCTCCCGGCCTTCCCCCCCTCCCAGCCTCAGCTCCATGGCGTGCTCCATTTTCAGAATTTTCGTCCGGAGGTAGTGTAGATTGTGCCGGTTGGCGGAGGGCTGCAGACCATCCACGCCGTCGACCTGGACCCCAGCAGCCCTGAGGGACCTCGTCTTGAAAGGGTTGTTGGTGGCCAAGCGGATGGACTCGATCCCCAGGTCTTGCAGGATGAAGGAGACGTAGTCGTAGGTGCGTTCGTCGTCCCCAAAACCCAGGAACAAGTTCGCATCCACCGTGTCCAGACCTTGTTCTTGCAGCGCGTAAGCCGCCACCTTGTTGGCCAGGCCGATCCCGCGCCCCTCCTGTGGCAAATAAATCACCAGCCCGCCCTCCGACCCGTTCCCGACAATGCGGTCCAGCGCCATTTCAAGCTGCTCCTTGCAATCGCACCGGCGCGACCCCAACACCTCCGAGGTCAGGCACTGGTCATGGACACGCACCCAGACCTGCTTCCCCCCCCGGTGCTCTCCTTGGAAGAGGACCACGGGCTCCACCACTTGCCGGCGACCCGTCTTGTGCGTGTACCGGTAGGCGCGGAGGTGGAAGAGACCTCGGTCGGTGGGCAGCTCGCACTGTGAGATGAATTCGAAGACAAAGGCCGGGCCCTCCGCCAGCAAGACGGGCGTCGGCTTCTGGATGTCCGCCATCGCCAGGTCCAAGGCAGTGACGGATCCCTCTTCCTCTTCTCCAACAGGCACATGCTTCCGATGCGAGTGG